GAGGGAAGACTAGTGGTCATCACCACCCACCGCCAACTGCTGACCTACTCTTTTACCAACGAATAGTGGGATTGACCGTCACATTATAACGTCCCCACGGCTGAAAGGGCGATCATGTTTGGTGAGACTGGGATTCGAACTCGCGACCCTCAGATTGCGAGTCGAGTGCCCTAACCACCTGGCCATGCCGGGCCTCTTGCTTAGTTAAATGAAGTTTAAAAAGCTTTCCACGCACACACATACATTACTCTTTTAATTATTTCTTGTAAGGGGTTTGAAAAATACTTAGATAGATATTCCTCTCTTTTGAAACGAGAATTCATCTTAATTCCATTAATTATCTGATTAATAAAAACTGTTATAATTTTTGTGGATTGGTTTACATAATCTTCTTCCAACCAATAAAGTTAGCATCACGTATACCATGAGAATCAAACCCCCAACTGTCTAATTTTCTAGTAGAACGCCAAAGATACCCCTGCTATGCATATTTCATCATGTATTTTGAATGCTGAGGTTCAAATTTTCAAACAACGTAGGATTTCATAAATATTATTTAATGTTAGGATTTTTTGTGGTGGGTGAAAACACCTCAAATGTAGCACAGCGGTATGTCTGCGGGCTTACAATGCTAGAATCCGGGTTTCGATACCCGTGGTGGGCAGAGCACAGATAGCCCATTGAGTTGCTTTGTGCTTAATTTAAAACAAACAAAAAACGCCTCTAATAAATATCAAAGTTTGTCCATGATTACATTCTATTTGAATTCGAATGACTTTCGTTTATTGGAAGTATTACTTTCTGGTATTAAAACTAACTTCAAATTATTGCCAGGAACCAATTAGGAACTCTGGAGTTCGAATCTGCATTTGCCTATGCTTTAATAAACTTATTTTAATTCAAGTAATAACAAACTTTTTATACAGAGGTATTACAAGATTTTGTGAAAGATGTTGACAGCAGAAGACTAGTATAAAACAATGGGAGTATTTATATTTAATAAAATCTACAAATTTACGAAGGCAAAATCCTTTGAAATCTAATATTAACAAACAAGCTCATGCAGAATAAACACACACACACACATATGGCCCAAAAGCTAATAATCAGTCGGAAGTGTTATTAGTCATTAGTACATATACCCTAGGCTTACACTCTGAAATCAAAGAGTGCAAGACTTTGATTGGATTTGGTACATCTACGTTGGCTGAAGAGTGTTAAAACTGCAAAAGTGCTACCTAGTTATCCAGAATATAAATAAAAACAAGCGATATTTCGAGCCTAGTGGTCTTTGAATACTTACATATATGTAAAAATACAACATTTTTATTACAGACGTACGCGCCAACTAATACATGATCGCAGCAACAAAATTCTAACAATACAATGTAAAATTATACTATTTATATTTTTGTACAAATGATATCATTTTAAAGTGAAAATGTCTGAGGCCATAGCACCCAAAAGCATTGGAGATATTCCGCCTATCAAACATAATGAAAACAAAAGACACAAAACTAGAAAGCAAGCTACAGATTTTTTTTTTTTTGCTTAGAATTCGCAACTTACCAGATCCCACTATCACTCACCGTTGATATCATTAACCATCCTCAGTTTCTAAAAGTATATAATGTTATAATTCTAGTGATACAATAACATACGATGTCATAAACTATAAACCCACCTATATAGTTCTTGTACCCCTACCTTCTCACTTAACAAAGACCTAATCTTTCAAGCAAACATTGGTAAACTGAGCGAGGGCCAGTTTCCTGAAGTTAGCGATTCTGAACCAAATATACTGAAAATTTTATTATGAGCTAGCGAAAGTACCCGGCTTCGCTCGGGATATTAGGTTAATAAATTCTAGATGTGTGTATTCTGAACCTATTGTAGCATAGAGGAACAGTCAAAAATATTTTAAACATTTATATTTACCAGAAACATAAAAAAGCCGTAAAGAAAGTACAGTATATTAAGAATTATTTATTATTATAGAACTTTATCATTGCATTAAATATTTCACATTTATACTTGATATAACAAATTTCTATCTCATTTTATCAGAATCTATTACAATTTTTTACCGTTACAGTGTTTCAGGTTAGACAATACTGGTTATTTTCCCAAAGAAATCACAGATAGACATACAGACACGCTCCTATAATAATAATATTATAATTAAAGAAGTGGTTACTTATATAACAACTTCTAATATATCTGTTGTTTCTGTCTGTCTGTCTGGGATTTACATCTATAG